GTAAATTTCTTAGGTGTTATCTTTGGAAGTAATTAAGTGTATTAGAATATGTAATCGTATGGTTATGTAATCATTTCGAATTTATTGCATAGCTGCTCGTTATTCTTTCAAAAAACGTTGCATTGAGTCATGGTTTTATTATTATATATGCTTCATTGTTTTATTTGCTTTTTTTTGCGTGGATTTGCGGTAAACTATGCAGTGCTTTAAGTTGCAGACAATTAATGAAAGTATTGCTGAAAACAAGAGCACTGATGTCATTCATTAATTGATGTGTATGTGTGTGTGTGTGTGTGTGTGTGTGTGTGTGTGTGTGTGTGTGTGTGTGTGTGTGTGTGTGTGTGTGTGTGTGTGTGTGTGTGTGTGTATGTGCTTGCTATGTGTGCATGTACGTAAGCAAAGAGCGACCTATGCTCATATTACTTTGTGCATATGGAAATGTTGGTTCATTGCTTTTTAAATCGAAGCCGGCGAATGAAGACGTTCTGTTAACTGCACCTGGCGATAAACTCGATATTGTTGTGTCATCGTACCGGCCACATTTGCATACGGATGCCGAAATGATACCAAAAAAATGGCATTGAGACAGTTTGAGAAATGAGTTGATTTCTTTATCTCTATATCTCCTAATATCTTCATTCCTAAAATTATACTTAAAAGATTATAAGTGGCTAAGACGATAAACGCAGGTGTCGCAAGTATGTACAAACCCCAGAGTCTTTATCATCAACACAGATTAAGTTCTTCGACTTCTGTCTTATCTTACACTTCCAGATACTGTCCACGCCTAGTATATATCAGTAAGAAAAATATTTTTTTTTCTTTTATATTGGGGGGGGGGGGATATTTCAATAAGTCGTTAACCTTTATTCCATTATTGTTATTTTTGATAATGAAGATTAGCCAGTTGCACAAACTCTTGATTTATATTTTCATTCCGTATGTGGATATGTTTTTATTGTATGGCATTATAAAATTGGTGGTACTAATAAAATAGATCAATAGTGATAATAAGAATTATGATAATGGTTGCTATTGTTATGATGATCGTCATTTTCATTATCTTATTATTATTATTACTCTTAGTGTTGTTGTTGTTTTTGTTGTTATTGTTGTTGTTTATGTTAATGTTGTTGTTGTTGTCTATGTTGATGTTGTTATCAATATTATTATCATTATCATTATCATTTTATTGTTGTTGTTATTGTTTATGTTGTTGTTGCTGTTTTTGTTGTTGTTGCTATTGTTGTTACTGTTATTATTATTATTATAATTTTTATTATTACTATCATTGTTGTAGTTGTTGTTTTGTTATCATTATTATTATTATTATTATTATTATTATTATTATCATTATTATTGTTGTTGTTGTTGTTGTCGTTGTTGTTGTTGTTGTCATTATCATTATTATCATCAATATGATGATGATGCTAATGATGGCCATAATTATAATTATTATTATCATTATCATTATCACTATTACTAATATTATTACTATCATTATTATTATTGTTGTTTTTATTGTTATTATTATTATTATTATTATAACCTATTTTCATTGCCTCTCACATATATGACATCATTATCATTATCATTACTATGATTATTATCATTCTTATTCTCACCATTATCATCATCATTATTACTTTTATTACTATCATTATTATTAATATCCTTTTCCTTATGATTATCATTATCATCGTTATCACTATAATTATCATTATTGTTATTATTACTGTTATTATTATCATCATCATCACCATCATTATCATTGATGTTATTATAATTATTATCAACATTATTATTTACACATCATTAATATTATCAGTTGCATCATCATTATCATAATTGTTATCCATCACTATTATCATTGTTTTTATTATTGTTATTATTATTATTATCATTATCATTATTACCTCCGCCAAGGAGGTTATGTTTTTGACGGCGTTGGTTTGTTTGTTAGCAGCTTAGCTCAAAAAGTGGTGGCCGGATTTCATCGAATTTTTGGGGACAAGTCAGAAAGGGACTAACTTAAAACTGATTATTTTTTGGTGACATTCCGAATTACCGTCTGGTTATTATTATTATTATCATTATTTAATCAATTAACAAGTTCGGTACACAAATCTACGGTAAACGTGTGTCACATTTCACTGACATTCCGAATTACCGTCTGGACGCAGCAGCGGTGTAAGTACATTATATACGCACCTTGGCGGAGGTCTGCACTCTCTGAGTGCTTTTCTAGTTGTTATTATTATTATCATTATTATTATTATTATTATCATTATTATGATTATTATTATCATTATCATTATTATTATTATTAATATTATTATTATTATCATTATTATTATTATCATTATTATTACTATTATTATTATTACTATTATTATTGTTACTATTATTATTATTATCATTATTATTATTATCATCATCATTATTATTATTTTTATTGTTGTTACTATTATCACTATCATTATCATTATTATCTCATTAT